GACCCAGCCTCGGAACCTTGCGGCCTTTAAGTTTTTTGCTCTGTGCATGGGTCGTAAAAAATAAAATAAAATTTAAAAAGTGACTCTCGAGGGCGGCGAAAGATGGGGGTGGCGCGCGGAAATGAATACGGCGGTCCCTCTGCAACCTGAGCGCCAGCCAGCTGTGCCCTTCAGTCACCTTGCACGAAAAAGGGGGGGGGCACGTCAGAACGGTGGCTATGTTAGGTCTGAGTAACTTAACCATGGTTTACTGGATTATATTTTAGGGGTTGCATGTCACTGGATCCTGTGACTAGCATCCTGGGCTAAAATCTGGGGTTTGGGCTCACCCTCGTGCTGGCAGGTGGAGAGGAGCTACTGCAGTAAATCCTCCAACGTTTGCTTGAACTTGCGGTTTGCCAAGGCTGGCCCACGTATGCTGCCGCGCATGAATGTTAAACACTGGGGCGTGGATGTGTTTCCTTTGGGAGGGAGACGTGCAAAAGGCCTGTGAGCCTTTAGGGCTAGGCTTGGCCTGGGCACTTGAGGCCCAAAGCTAGCCATGGCGCTCTCAGAGCCCCTGCAAAGTAAATTATAATTCTTACCGCGGCAGAAGAGCACCCAAAACTGTATTTTCCTCCAAGAAAAATGTAGCTTGAGGGTTTGCAGATACAGGAAAAGGGATCCCCCTGTTTGAATGCCAGTCTCCCAGGGATCTGATTGAGCATAATAGAGAGTTACCACCTGCCAGATGATAAGGCAGCTTCTTGTGGTGGCAAGGTGGAAAGTAATTTTATTTTCTCTTTTCGTTTTGCTTGTAGTGGAGCCTGAGGCTACAGACCCAAGGTATGTCAATTATTCTTAATCGTGAGCCGCCCAGAGTCACATAATGAGATGGGCAGCGGTACAAATGTATAAATTAAAATAAATTTATTTTCTTAACAACCTTTTAAGCCTGCAGGCATGGGAGTTCTCTTAATCTCGTAACCACGTTTTTCCCTATGCTTCTCTTCAAGGTACCTTCATTTTTCTGAGAACTGGTTTAGCTTGGATTTTTCTTAACTTTACAGCTCAACTTTCCCCTTTTTTTCACTTGTAGTTTCAACAGCTCAAGAAGGAACTCGAAAAAGAGTTTCCGGGCGAGCTGGAAATTGTGAGTCTTTCGAGCCATTCCTGGTTCCACCTTCCTTTTTTCTGGTCATCTCATGAGATTCCTAAATAAGTAGATTCAGGGCGAGGAGAAAGATTTTGACATTTGGCTAGCTGTTTCAAGTAGTTTATCAACTGCACTTTGATCAAAGTCCCTATAAAAATACATGATGTAATCTGAAAAACCAGCTTCAAAAAACGTCTGATCTATTGCAGGCACCTTGCATGTTGTGAAACATAGTGAAATTCTCCCCAAAACCTGAGATTTCTTGTTGAGAAGAACCCACCGTGGTTATTATTCATCGAACCATTGGCAGGGTTCGATAGTATTAGGCGTGTCCCTGGTCTGTGTAGGCAGCAGAATAGCTCAGCAAGCCTGCTTATAAATGTTGCAGATTGAATGCAAACCTTGAAAGACCAGATGGTGCTTTACAGCAAATAGGACTACTGTATGTATAACTCAGTATTGTCTATGGCAGTGTTTCTCAACCTCATGCTGGCTGGGGAATTCTGGGAGTTGAAGTCCACACGTCTTAAAGTCGCCGAGGTTGAGAAACACTGGCCTACACCAATTGACAACAAGAGTCCACAGGACAGGTATTACTCCTTCCTAACCTGGTCCCTCTGGATGAGGTGCCCAGAACTTCCAACAGAGCTGGAAACCACTGGTTTGGGAAATGTCAGTCTGTACATGACCAAAAAAGAGGGAGCTTCAGTTTCTGCTGCAGAATCCTCTCACGTGTGCAGAGCGGTTGAGTTCCTTCACGAAGAGCAAGATGCAGAGAGGACGCAGTGTTGGGTGACCCCTGCAGAAATAGAACAGGTGCCATCGGCAGGACTGATTCAGTCCATAGACGGAATGTGGGAGATGGATCTGGGTTCCGTGACTAGGAGAAGGTGGTTGAGGAACACTTGAAGGAGAAGCGATGTGCATGGTTATGGTTGTTAAGGGGAGATGGTCTCTTGTTTCCATCTAGAGCAGCGAAGGGACTCCTCAGGTCACAGGATGGTTTGAAGTGACGGTAGCAGGGAAGCTGGTGCACTCCAAAAAAGTAAGCAACTCCACACATTCTTGTATTGAAGTCAACCAAGACCCCAAAGAACAGAGTTGTTGGGAGCTCAGCTGCACAAGTTGTGATGCCTTATGAAATAAATTCTGGGGACTGTGGTCACACAGCACCCTGTTAAGCCTAAAACTGAATGAATCGTATCATGGCTTAGCATGATGTCTGGATTCAGGGCTGTTTAAGGTACAAGAGAAGGCAGTCTGAAAGACAATCATGTTTTGTCTGTCAGAACTACTACATCTCTTTGAACTTTGGGGCAATGCACATTAAGGCTAAGAGAATAGCCTCTTTGTGTGTGCATACAAGCACATGGGCGTGGCAAGAACTGGGCGGTAACACTTCTTTAACTGGCATTTAATACGTAGGAAATCTCTCATTGTGGAAGAACTCAGGCACAATCTCTTGGAGGGCCTGAAATGATAGTCCAAGAAGATGGTTGCGCTGACTTCCTCCTTTACTCTCTCCCATAATTACTAATTTTATTACGTCGAGAACAATGCTTTTTAAGAGCAAATCTAGTTGCGACCAAGGGCGGATGTTTTTTTCAGAAAGAGAAATAAATCTGCCTTGAGGAACTAGAGCGTGCGATGGCATGAAAAGCCTCTGCCTTTCTCTTTCGGTACTGCAGCAACTTCCTTCTGTTGTTCATACAGCAGAACCGAGAGAAGAAAAACTCCTTCTCATCTTTCCTTTTCTCTAGAACGGAGATGGCTTTGTGGATGACGATGCCAAACTACACAAGATAATTAAGGCCATCAAAGCAGCTTTGGCATAAGGAGGACTTTGAGCATGGGCTAGCAGCTCAGAGCGCAACAGAGGTAAAATCAGACTTATTTTTGAAGCTCATTTATTCTGTTAAAGTCATATTCTAAAAAATCTCTGCCCAAAAAGTATCTGCTGTAAAGAATACTGGCGCCCCTACAGGACTCACATTGCTTTTTTACTTCTCAAAACATTCCAGTAAAATGTTGCTTTTCCTAAAAATGGAATGCGTAAACCCTTTTTTATACAAAAAAGCATGTTACATTGGCGTAGAGAGTTTCTAAAATGGCTTTGTACACATAAGACAAATCTGAAGCCTAAATAGGCTAGAATGTACACTTTAAAAATAGCATCTATCCTGCCTCTTCAAATAATGAGTGTGTGATGCATTTTAATGTTATTTGCAAAACTAACTACAAAGGTTAGCAGCCCTTCATGCTAAAGAGTGTTTTGTTCTAGCTAGTATTTGTGGAGTCTCAGCCCACAACCCAGGGTTAATTCCTCTGTTCACTTAAGTTGAGGCATATGGGAGATATTTTTAAGCCACTATCTGAGTGGGTCTCTCCCCCCACCAAACCTAACCGTAGCTAGTCCGCCTCCATAAATGGGGTACGTTGTCTTGCCAACGAACCTATGAAACATTTTCGGGCCTGCAGGATAGGACACTCGGAGCATTTGACATCTGGGAAGGCACGCTGCTCTAGGGAAAACAATTGCCAACCTGTCCTTCTGTTAGCAATTTTTTTAAACAACTTTCTTCTTCATTTGGTAGCTCAAGAAAAATCTGTTTTGTTCATCTTGGCAAATCGCTTGATGACGGGAGCTGCTGAAATGTTGCTGGACACCTGGCAGTTCCCTGAAGACTGCGCGTTGGATGCCAATTTGAGCAAAGCCTGATGGAAGACCTTGTGCTCTAATTCAGTGTCTGGGTGTGGATTGGAGTCAGCGTTAAGTCTGTGCCTCCTAACGCATCTGTCTTTGGTGTTTGGTGTGTGCTGCACGCAAATATGGCTTTCTTTGTCATTCTTTTTTTAATATTTGCATTGGTGGCCAGTAACTCTAAGAAAGGATTACTGAAAGATAGGAAGAGTGGAAGAGTCATCAACTGTTTGTTTTCATTGCTTCCAATATGTGATGGAACCAGATGCCAAAAAACTCATCTTGGAACTAACCAATTTTAGAATCCTAAAACATCTTAACTTGAAGAAAGTTTGCATTCTTCTTCCTTTCCCACCCCTCCTAACTTTCCTATTGCAGGATTGTTTGGGTACTTTATACCCACTTCTGACTACTTTGCTTGAACATTGTTGAATCCACTAAACATTTAATAAAAAGTTACTTCCAAGATATTGCAGCCTGTGTGAAAATGTTGTGTACAAGATTCAGTCTGCCTGTATTTCACACTTTTGTGTCTATGGCAGATTAATACTTTATTTACTGCATTTATATCCCACCTTTTCTCTTAAGAACTGAAAGCAGTGTACAACAGGAACTCCCCTAAATTAATCTACTCAACAACCCTGTAGATAAGACTTTGAAAGTAACTGGTTCTAGCTCACGTCCTCCAGTGAGTGAGGTGGACAAGTTGGTCTCCTCAAGTCCTCCTAAATTGCACTTGCCTTCTTCAGCAACTTGTCTGCTGCCTAAAGTGTATTTTAAGCCATTGTTGATCCCTTTGGAACAGTGTTTCTCAACCTTAGCAACTTTAAGAGGTGTGGACTTCAACTCCCAGAATTCCCCAGCTAGCCATGCTGGCTGGGGAATTCTGGGAGTTGAAGTCCACACCTCTTAAAGTTGCTAAGGTTGAGAAACACTGTTCCAAAGGGATCAACAATGGCCTCTTCTGAGGAGCTAAGAAAATGTTTATCTCCCTGAGCCTGGCCTTCATAATTCCATTCCATCACAGGTGTGGACTTCAACTCCCAGAATTCCCCAGCTAGCCATGCTGGCTGGGGAATTCTGGGAGTTGAAGTCCACACCTGTGATGGAATGGAATTATGAAGGCCAGGCTCAGGGAGATAAACATTTTCTTAGCTCCTCAGAAGAGCATGGGAGGAACAAGAGGATGAGACTGGCACTTCCCTCAGGAATTCACACTGTTGTGGCTGACTGACTTTGGGAGATGGGGTTTTAGTCTGGGAAGATTCTTGCTAGAGGTTGTAGCTAATAAACATAACTGAATTTGCATTGTCTCTTGGAGTTCCTTGGGCTAGGCCTGACAACACCTCTTAAAGTTGTCAAGGTTGAGAAACACTGCTTTGGAACATCTGCCATAGATAACGGGCTGAATTGTACTTGTAACAAAGCCACCCAAATTGAGGAGACCATGCCATAAAATTTACTTTGTGCCTGTCTTAAGGTGACTTTTTCCACTAAGTTTCAAAGGGATGCTTGAATGAAGAAAATGACTAACAAGTCGTCTTTCAGGGGATTACTTGGTACTGTCTAGATGGCAAAACTCCCTAAAATCTGATTAATACAGCTTAGATTAGGGTGTAATAACATCTAAGTCCCAGTTGGAAGACAGTGAACAAAAGGAGTCAAGAACATGTAGAGAAAGGGACTGTCGTGATAGGTCACGTAAATATGTTCTGTGGCTTGAGAGCATGGAAACAGGAAATGTTTAAAAATGGAGCATTGAATATTGATGAAAGGAGGGGGAGAAATTTTTCCTTCTGAAACTCCTGCCAAAAACTAGAGCACTGGCCAATTTCAGAGAAGAGTTAAGAACACTAAGTGCTACAAAAATCCATCACTATACTTTACACTGAACAAAATCAAACAATAAAGGGACATGCATCTGATATCAGATATGGTACTTATCCAAAAGCTGTGGGAGAACATGGAAAGAGGAACTGCAAAAACTGATTCTGAGTTAGAATTCATTGGAGATTCGATACCATTATGCTGATTAAAGAGAGATCAAGGTTTCTTTCGTTACAGCATGAGCCAGCTAAAATGCACTTGAGAGGCCCAGGTCCCATATTCTGTCTCAGCAATCCTCCCTCTGTTCCCTCCACAACTGTATAGGTAGTACCTAAGTTTTATTACCTAGCTTCAAGATTGGAAGGGGATCCATAGTAAAAGAAAAAAAAACCCTGAATGCTGTACTGTATATGCTTAGATCTTTCTTTGATCTTTGGTTTACTGGCTAATGGCCGTGACAGAAGAGGCCCTAATGCACAAGCGCTTACACAATGTGTTTTCTTCTAGTTATTATCCCTGCCACACACAACTGCAAAGTGGAGGCATCTCTCCAAACGTGAAGCATCAAAGCACCATGTCCTTTACGAGACTTGGCAATGCTGCTTCCCAGGTCTCCCCGCATCTGATAATGCACAACCAGGAGAGGTTGGCATTGGTGCAGGCCAGATGGTCTCGCACAATCTTACTGGAGCACGGAAGCTGGGTCTCTAGGAAAGGCTTCCAAGAATGCGGCACAGCGCATGAGAACACTTACCAAGAAGCATTTGAGGTCAAGATGAATCGTGTGCCTATTATAGGGCCCTCAAAGGGTGCCTTGATGAGAACGGCATTTTGCTGCAGCATATGGGCATTTGCTACTCTGACATTTTAAAGATGGCAAGACTAATGTATTTGCCAAGCTTACCAGGCGCTGTTTGTCGAAGCCAACTCTTTGATGATATGAGGGTGACTTGACTGGCATGTGAATGTGACACATCCTGCAAGGAGCATGATGCACAGAACACATTTCCAAGAGGAGAGAACACCTGTAGCTCAGGGCTGAACTGCTGGGTTCTTGGTATTCTTTGACTTGGTGGTTTTCCTGCAGACGTTTCATGACCAGGCAAGGGAACATCATCAGGGCAGCGCAGTCTGAAGTTTCTTGGTTATTTATACATTTGACAGTTCAACATCACAGAATGGGACGCTTGTCATACAAGTAATTGGCATTATGGAGCCCCCAATTACTATGTCCCCAGCGCTCCAAGCTTTAGCCATGGATGGATTACATACCTTCAAGTCAATGTCGACTCTTTGTGACCACATAGATTTTCTCCATGATGATCTGTCCCTAACCCCCTTTATAACTCCTTACCTAGTAAAGCACCTGGGAAATTGTTTTTTTTTTTTGTACAATTGTTATCAGGTCAGCATGATTCAGTCTCCTTGAACATAGCTAAACTTTGTTATACCACCTGTAAAATTAGGCAGACTTTGAC